AGCACAGGGCGACGAGGGTTGTGACAAAGGGATGAAGGAGGGAGGTTCAAAGCTGGTGCTGGGCCACTACCTCAACTCGGTGAGTGATCGATGTCGCAAGTACTGAACTTTTGGCTTGCAAGCGAGCGGCTGAATTGGCAAGAGAAGTAGGCTTTCAGAAGCTGATCTTGGAGACAGATAGTGCGGGAACATAAAAAAAAACTACAAGATAGAAGTCTTAACAAATCTGTATTGGGTTCTCTAGCTCAGGAAGTAAAAATTTTGCTAATATATTGATGTGCAATCTTTTACGCGAAAAATGGATGTACAATTTTTATTTTTTTTCTCAGGAGTGTAAAGTCGTCTGGATTAACCGAACGGCAAATTGGGTAGCTCATCTTTTAGCTCAGAGTAGTTACGAGAGTTTATCTCCTAGTACTTGGTTATCGCATTAGTGGCTTCCTCCAAAGGTCAGATATAGATGGGCTCCTCTGCTTAAATTAGTACTCTATCTACACACAACACAAACTAATCACCAATCACCACCATCATTTCTTGGTGCCAAAAGGACAAGAACCACGGGTTAGCCCCACCAAGCCATCAAATCTAATCCTCTCGCACACACCCAACAATGACAACGGCGCACCATACAACAGCAGAGGGAGAGGGATCAAAACAAAATCAACACCTTTACACATCCATGTCCCCCTTTTACATGGCCAAGGACCATTATTCAATTGACGCCCAAATGCTAAGCCTTCCTTTACCCCCTAAACCACTGCATGGCTTGTCAATGCAATGGCCGACCGATCCACCCATACAGAAATGGGCAATTTCGTCCCCTTCACTTTAGGCCTTTGCATTGGTGGGCTAACATGCTTGCTTGCAAGTGTAGCTTTACACCTCCTACATTTTGCTTGGGAATTGAGGTAGTAGTGTGGGGATGCATGAGCAAATCAGGGGCTCTACCTCTGGTGTAATCTGGCTTCTTGCTTTATGTTGTTTCAATAACAAGAAGGGAGATAGGATGAGAAAATAATTGTAAGAAACAAAAGGAGGAAGAGCTGATTGTGATCTAGCTGCTAATTAAGTAGGTGGCAAGTAAATTAACTCTCTTGCTTCTTGATGATTAGTACTACTTGAGTGATGCTATAATTTCTAGGGGAGAGACTTCTGAATAGTGGACAAGAACTAGCCAACATGTCAGTCTATTTCTTACAGTTAATTACTTGTAAGGAACTAGGCCCATCAAGCATGCATTAGCTGTCCTCTTCTGCACCTTGCTTTGCAACAAACTGCGTTTGTTGAGCTCGAATAATGCCATGGGGAGAACCTTTCTGACTCAAGATGTTGTTTCTTTCTGAGACGCCGTTAAGGAGAATGTAAAACAGTTGGCTGCTGCATAAGCGACAACATGTACGTACAAGCCGCTCTCACTCTCGGAGACAACAGAAAAACGCCACATGAGTACGAGGAGCTAGCCACATGCACGGCATTTTTCTGAAGAGAGTAACATGAGAAGGTCATATTCAGAGTGCTAATAATAATGCAGCCTGTGCATGAGCTACGAGAAAATTCAGTAAAAGTTCAGAAATGTAACTTCCAGGTTAATCAAATAGGTTACTTTTGATTTTTCTTTTAACACATGGACTGTACTGCTTTTATCATGTAGCCCAGAAGCCAAGATCTTTATGAGACGATCCAATGATAAGTTTCTATTAATTCTTTTTTTTCCTAGAAAAGAAGTCAATCTGCTATCAAATACAATTATTAGGTAGGTCAGCACTGGCATAATTTCTATCATTCTAATCCCCTTAACCACCCAATACTATATATAAAAGTAGCATGTATACTTAACTTCAGAGAGGGGAGATATATAGACAACTACATGCCCTTTTCTTCATTTTTAAGGAAATAATTTGAGAGAACTATATCGACTCTTGCACGTGTACTTGCCTCTGAATTCTGAAACCTTGAAACACTGAGCAGATCAGCAATTAATGGAATTGGTCAGAGAATTTATTAGATGACATATAAGGTCGTTGAGTTCAGTTAAGAGTTCGCTCAATATAATGAATTGCATTTCCGCTAGAGATACACTTGCCCAATCTTACTACTACATTTATTTTCATCAGTTTCTTGTCTTGCCAGCTTGTACGGTTCCATATGCATTCATAATACTTGATTACTTACTTACTGCAGATTGACCCAAATGATTGTTCCAGTTTGTTTCTCTTAAGAAATATTCCTGATAAGGTCGCTCAAATTCAAGTCCGAATCAGAAAAATAAAGAGGCAATAATCCTGTGGAGAGTACAACAGCTCATAGTACAAATTGAACTATCAAAATTAAAAGCAACTAAATTTGTCATTTTCAGTTGAGAGAGTTTTATGCTCTATACTACACCTGGCCTTTTTTTTTCTCTGGTTAACTCAATCAGAGATGTTCACTGAATGTACCTTAGCTGATCTATCCTACATTTTATTGCATCCCAAAAACATACTGAAGAAATAAAACTCAGTTATCTTTGCCACTGGAACACTTATCCTACATTTTGTTACATCTCAAAAACATACTGAAGAAAGAGAACTCAGTTATCTTTGCATTGAGACACTTAACTCCACATTAAAGCTACAGTACTGCTAGTAGCAGACACAGCAAAAGCAATTGCACAACTTGTAATAGTATAACACACAAGCCCTATGTATACAGCTCTACACTGTGATTAGGTGTCATAGAAGAATAATTCCGCCCCCTACCCTATGATTCTGACCACATGCAGCTCATTGGGAGAAGCAACTTGATCCATAGATGAAAAATATTTAGAGCGCTAGAACAGCAGATTCGAACTGTAAAGCTAGCAAAAAATGGAGTGTGCTACTGATTTATCAGAAGGAAAAGCTTCAATACTAGCTCTGCACTCTGCAGCTCTTTTTTTGTTATTGTTAGGAAGCAGACTTGTTAGTTAACAATGTATATGTGTTAATTAACAATGTATATGTGCTCCTTCTAGGTTGCTTCAGTTGCTCACTTGATCTGAAACAGGGTCAGTATTTTAGGGTGATGTTTATGCTGTGCATTGTTTGAGAAATAGACTAGGTGCTATATATGTAGTCTGACACCATCTGATATGTTTGTTTTCTTTCATTGTTCTGAATAAAAGTCAGAATTCCAGGGAAAAAGTATTGAACAATTGTGCAGCCATATGTCTACAAGAACTATTAGGTTAGTTTCATCACTGGGAATTAAACAAAACTGACAGAAAGGAAATTGCTTGGACTTGTTGCTGGAACTCATTATTATCTAGTTGCTTAGCAAATAGTGGAGTAGATAATTAGTGATCAAACAAAAGAGGAAATTCCACCTATGAATGATACACACCCATGAATGACAATACAGCTTATAGCAGTGCAATATTCACACATCAGAAATGGTGCATGCAACTAAATTTTCACAGCAGTAATTAGCAACTACTAGTCATTACCTCGACTTAAAACATTTCTGTTGCGTTAGCGAGAGAACTAAACACTATGACAACGCATTAAGATCGAGACAAATTACGAACAGCACGCCGCGCGAAATCATCCCATCAAATCTCTTCACCCTTTTGTCATGTGCAAAGCACTTAGATTCTAAAATAAATCAGCCCGTGCTTGCATCCAAATTCCTCTAAAATATATACCTATGATGATTGAGCTATATATTCGATGGATTTATATTTCATTTCTGTTGCATCCTCCACACGTGGAAACCTCCGCTTTTCCCTCCTCGAGCTCCACACCCAATGCTCCGATCCCTTTTCTGCTTAATTAATCAAGAAATTAACAATCTGCATAAATAATACTGTAACAGTTTTTTTTTATAACTTCATCCAAGTTACAGCTTACAGGATTAGTGGATCAACGACGTTGTCTGTTCTATTTTAATCATCACCAGAAAAAGGAAACAATCATCTCTCTTTTACACATTCACGCCAAGGGGGATGCATGCATTGTTTAGTTTGTTACTCCCTTCGGTTGGTGCGGAGTACTGATGACATGCCATTGTGTTCTTAGATATGAACTTTAGAAATGATACTGATACATGAGTAGCAAACAAACAGTGAAGGCTCCATCGGTTGGCTTTTTTTTCTAATAAGCCAAAACGGCTTATTAGGAAATAAAAATAAATTTGTAGGTAAAGCTTTTATATATATGTGTTCTTCGTAACTTAAAAGCCAATGCTGAAAAAAAATTACGTTGAAAATATCTCAAAATCAATCTTAAAATTAAGTTTGAAAATTCAAAATTTGGCTTATTCTTTGGCTTATTAGGTCATCTGATGGGAGCTTGAATAATTCTTCTATTTATTACTGGAGAGATTGTTTGAGACATAAAATCTAGGCAAATTTATTATATATATATATTTAGGACTTTAATTAGTTAGCTCCAGAGAGTAGAAATGACAGCGAAATATTAAGACTAGCTAAGACTGACATGTATCCAAGATAAAAACCAACACTTAAATTGCAAATAAATCCAAGGAGACAAATCGACTATTTTAGTTATAAAACTATAGAAAAGATTACATTAGTGGCGTTCTTCTTGAGCCTAGAATTAACATGCTACCACTAAATGGGAAGGAAATTGAAAGGACAAGCTAGTATGTAAGCTATTGATTGATTATGGATATGCACATACGATTCTATAACGTGAGCTGCTTTCTCTGTCCCAAAATATTAACATGTACGTATTGGCATTAACTTTGAAAATGTACTAGGAATTCAGTTAGTTTACAAACAAGATAAAACTAATTAATTTAAAGCACTGAAGTACTTCCTCCGTTTCACAATGTAAATCATTCTAGCATTTTCCACATTCATAAATAGAGATATATGTCTAGATTCATTAACATCAATCTGAATGGGGAAATGCTAGAATGACTTACATTGTAAAACGGAGTAAGTAAATCATTCTAGCATTTCCCATATTCATATTGATGTGTCTAGATTTATTAACATCAATATAAATGACTTACATTGTGAAATAGAGGGAGTAGCAAAGTTAAGAGAGAGAGAGAGAAATAGAAAAAAAAATTAAGCATGTCCATGTCAGCTTGGGGTCCTCTTATAAGTCGTCTCCTCCAAACCCTCCTCGCCTCTCCATCCTGGAGCCACAGCCTTCTCCCCTATTCTTAGCCCGCCTCGCCGCCTACGTCCCGGCGCGCGCGCGGCCGGCCGTCGTACAAACCCGCGCCCCCTGCCCCCCGCCATTGCCGCCGGCGGCCACCCATGGACATCGACCTCGACCGGGCGCGCGCCCTGCGCGTCCTCGGCCGAGGCGCCATGGGCACCGTCTTCCTCGTCGAGGCCCGGTACGGCGGCTTCCGCTACGCCCTCAAGGTGTTCGACAAGCGGTCCGCCGCGGCGACCAGGCACGACGCCGAGCGCCGCGCGCGGTGGGAGCTGTCCGTGCTCTCCCGCCTCGCGCACCCGCACCTCCCGTGCCTCCTCGGCTCCGCCGAGACGCCCGGCCTCCTCGCGTGGGCCGTCCCCTACTGCCCCGGCGGCGACCTCAACGAGCTCCGCTACGCGCTCCCCGACCGCGTCTTCTCCCCGGCGGCGATACGCTTCTACGTCGCCGAGATCGTGTCCGCGCTGTGCGAGCTCCACGCGTCGGGCGTGGCGTACCGCGACCTCAAGCCCGAGAACGTGCTCCTCCGCGCCGACGGCCATGTCACCCTCACCGACTTCGACCTCTCCCGCCTCCTCCCTCCCAAGACGGCGGCGCCGTCGTCCGCGTCGCCGCCGCCGCGCATGTTCCAGGGCGGCGGCCACCGCCCGCGCGTCTCGGCGAGGAGCGAGATCCCTCTCTTCAGCCATGCCACCAAGCCCGACCCCTCGCCGCCGGCGGCGAACCCGTCGGCGAAGCAGCAGCTCCAGAGCCTGGTCCGGTTCATCATGAAGGGCGACAGGAGCGAGCTGTCCAAGAAGGCCAAGTCGGCGCGGGTGTCGCCGGTGAGCCGGAAGCCGGCGAGCTTCGCGTCGTCGTGGGGGAAGTCGTTCTCGTTCGTGGGCACGGAGGAGTACGTGGCGCCGGAGATGGTGAGGGGCGAGGGCCACGGGCTCGCCGTCGACTGGTGGGCCGTCGGCGTGCTCGCCTACGAGATGGCGTACGGGCGGACGCCGTTCAAGGGCAAGAACCGGAAGGAGACGTTCCGGAACGTGCTCCTCAAGGACGTGGAGTTCGCCGGCGACAGCCGCCGCCGGCTGCCGGAGCTCACCGACCTCATCTCGCGGCTGCTGGAGAGGGACCCCAGGAAGAGGCTGGGGTACCAAGGCGGCGCCGACGAGGTCCGAGCTCACCCGTTCTTCGCCGGCGTGGCGTGGGACATGCTCGACGTGGTGTCCCGGCCGCCCTACATCCCGCCGCCGGCTGACGACGGCGACGAGGTAGTCGGCGACGGAGAAGACTTCAGCATAAGAGAATACTTCGATAAGCTTCACCAGCCGCCGCCGCCGGAGTCGGAGAGCTCCTCGTCGGAGTTCTCGTCGGAGTTCTAATCTATCTAACGTGGCTGCTGCCTCTGTACTCCTCCTACCTTTTCTTTGGGTCATTTTTCGGTTTGGTCCTCGTTAGGTTACTATTTTGTAACGAAGGGGCTGAGGGTGCGTGTATATACGTGGAGAGGGGCGGCAATGTAAATTCGGTGTAGAGGCTGTGGAGATGTGCAAAACAACATTTTTGGAGGGCTGTCGCACGTGCACGTTTCTGTATGAGGCTGTCCAAGCCATTTTTTTTCTGTATTTTTCTCGTGTCCTTTTTTCAGTGCCTGGCAGAAGAATTTACCAAAATTGTCACACTGACAGAAAAAAGCCTAATAGTAAAGAATTTTTTTTCTCAATTACATGGATTACATGGAGGACGGAAAGTCATTTTGTTCTACGATCTCGTTTGTCCTCTCGAAATTGAGTGGTGAAAAACCATCTCCCATATATATAGAACACTAAAGGTAAATGATAAGCAAAATAGTGAAACGGGTTGATATACAATTGCATGAGTTCTAAAATATGGTCATAAGTTACAAATCATAATTAATTATTTCAAGTTAGTAATACTTTTTTTTGAAGTTAATTAGTACATGCATCTTTAATCATATAAAAGACACATTCATCACATAATTAAACACGGGTTTAGTATATTGTCTTTGGGCGTGCTTAACTCCTTTGTTTCGATTTTGTATATTGCAGAGGAGAATATTTATAATTACCTCCCGTACATCTCTACAATGATTGATCCACGAGCGCTGGTGGTTATATACATTTATCATGCCAATTGCGGTTCGTACACATGCAACTCTGATTAATTAGGCTATGTTGTTTCTGAGCTGTTGGTGGTTGAAATCCTTAACATGCTCATCTCTCCTGGTTTCCAGAATTTTCGATTGACACGCATGTGGCATGCTATGTTTAATCTCTGGACCTTGATTTATATACCAATGAGAATAATATACATACTGCATTTAATTTTTGGGCTAATGTGTGCACGGATGACATGATTCCTTAATTAACTAGGTGAAACCCCGCGCATTGCTGTGGGAATTTAGTATGATAATAATAAAAAATAACATGTAAGATAGCTATATAACATCAGATTAAGTAAATTAATGTGGTTTATGATAATTTAAATTTAAATAGTATGTAGAATGGTGATTTAAACGTAAAAAGTAAGGTGGTATAACTTTATAGAAGAAGAAAAATAGAGAGATAGTTTGGACCGTAGATTAATCATCTAAAGGCTAAAAAAAATTGATGTGATATGACTTAATTAGAGGAAAAAAAAGAGAAAGATAATTTGGACCATAGATTAATCATTTAAGCACTAACTAAGTGAGGATGAACTATATAAGTATATAGGATATGATAAAACATAATAAAGATATACATTGAAACATTATGTGAATTATGTTGAATGATAATTTAACATGTTTGTATTTTAAAAGCTCTTAAATTATAAAAATATAAAGATATAGCATGTTTGTATGATGTTTAAATATGATGATTGTTAGTGGATGATGATGTGGTATCTTGTTAGTGGATGATGATGTGGCATCTTTGCATGTTAAGCTTAAGGAGTTAGTGGAGGATAACTTTACAGTAAGATAGGATTTCTATCCACATCATATTCAAGACAGACAGTTATTTACAAGCTCATTCATTAGAGAAAAAAAATATATCATTGTTTAGAAAGCTGGAGATTATAAAAAGCAGCTAATAAAAATATGAAAAGGCTAGATTTTAGCTCTTATAATATCTAGTTTATTTTCTGGGTTCTATAGCTTCCGATTCTTATAATCTATATAAAATAAATTGTACTACTCCCTCCGTTCTAAAATATAACAACTTTTAACCTTCAAGATTTATCCCCAAAGATAACAATTTCTCCACCAACATTCTCTTCCTAACCAACCACAACTCTCCACCATTCACTTTTCCCACCTACCTTCACTAATCATCCAATCACAACCCTCCACCATTCACTTTTACCTACTTTCTTAATAACCGTGTTCAACTCTAAAACTTCTTATATTCTGGGATGGAGGGAGTATATATTTAGGGGAGTTAGAGATTATGAGAGAAAGTTGTAGCTATCATAAAATATTATCTATATGTTTATACATATTCCTATTCCTTTTAAAATAATGGATTAAAATTCAACATGTATATCCACACAACCAATTCCTATACATATGAAATGCTATAAGAGCAAGTTTAATAGGCGGCTATAAGCTGGACTATAAACTTACGTGAAGAAGAAAGAACTTGAAAGAGTTCTGCTATACGTACGACTCTAGTCGTATGGCCCACATCTGACCAGCAATCAGTACACTTAAGATCTCTTTATGTGGGTCTAGGCATGTAGTAGCGTACACTAGTTGGACACAGGTCGGACACGTTGTGTATAGACATTTCAAATTTGAAAAATAAAGAGAGTTGGCTCTCATGCAAGAGCTAGCTATTCACGTATTTCAATATGAATTCATTAAATACATATATGAGAGGTAGAGAGGGGAGAAGAAAAATAGCGATAACCTTATACCTCATCTACTATATATGTTAAATATTAAATATAATATGAGCTATAATTAAGTTTAAGTTTATAGTTAGTAAACTTGCTCTAAGTAGTTTGTTTGATGGTTGAGCATGTCAGTTAGCGTTGATCATATATATAGACCCACTGTTTAATTAGTTAATTAATTAATTGGTGGGTGGTCTACACGTACGTGAGCTTGCATTTGCTCTAGCTAAGCTAGCATGGCACACCATACCCAAATGTCGTCGTTAGTTGCCGAAAGCTATCAATATGTGCTATCCGTACGATGTATTTACTGTACGTGTGTTTAAAGGCAGGCGTTTTTCTTTTTCTTTTTTTTGAAAAGAAGGCAGGCGTTTAATTTGACCAAATTAAGTTTGGTGTGTGGGCGCCTAAATCTTTTGATCTCATCAATCGATTAGCGTAATTGGAGAATTTCATGGAGATTGCTCATGGATTAGGAGACAGTGGGCCGGTTTGTTTTACACGTTATGGTACTACTGAGTAAGCCATGCATCTTCTTCCTAAAAGCATTAATAAGTTGATGAATCCACATTCGGCGTGAGGTTGCATGCATTTAGCAGAATATGCGTGTCTGTAACACTTAGTTTTTCTTTCAAACCAACACTTTGGTTTTTTGTGGCACAAAAAAGTTCAGTTGTGTTGGTAGCCACGTTCAGGTATGGTTGAAGGCCCCAGTCCGCTCATTAATATCAACACGTTTGAAATTAGACAGAAAAACATATCACAGAGATGAACTAATAGGTCTGGCTCGGTTAATCATTTTTCCAAAATTTAGAGGAGATTTATTTCACTCCTATTTGAATGTAAAATTAATTAACCATACTCAGTCTCTTCCTATCCCTTTCTCTAATTAGGGATTAATCGACAAGGGCTAGAAGGTAAATCTGATGACCAATTTCTCTTGTTTAATTTTGACAAGATTTTTTTATGAATTAAGCAAAATAATTTTCACAGGAGAATTTCCTGCATTATTACAAACGGGTCTGGTCTGACAAAGGTGCTAGAAAATTAATAAGCTGTCACACTACTAGGTCAGTTATCTATAATATTACCTGGCAATCATATCAGCTTATTAATTAACTTGATCTTGCCTACTCTGTCTCAGCTTTGTCCATTCCTTTGTTGTGCAAGCATATCTAGATTGAGTTTTCAGTAAATTGGAAAAATCAGCTACATTGAGTTTAATTCCTAAGCTCACCACTTCACCGTGTGATGCATTATGCTGACAATATCTTTACTACTGCTGATGACAGATCAGGTGAAGTCGATCTCGGACGCCGACTGTTCAGCACACACAACCATATCTACATTACACTGAACATTCATCTCTTTTGATCTGAGATCATATATATATATATATATATATATATATATATATATATATATATATATAGTGGTCACTTCCTGGGGATCTATATCAGTATAGTTTCTTTGCAATACAACTACTTTCAGATTGGCTACTACTTTACTTTCGTAAGGTACTGAGAATCTTTCAGCACCAACTGATCGAACAGCTGGTTCATACATGTGCCACGTAGTCTTCTGATGAAACATGGAGATGTGTATGTATGGGAGCTCGACACTTGTTCCATTTTTGGTCAGTACCCTGCATTCATATACCCACTGTGTCGATCGTGAATTCGTGATGCAGTCAGTCTCAGATAATGACGGATCGATGTAAGTCATTGCCTCTAAATAAATCCGGGCCGGGGTACATTGAATCCATCTATATGGACTTTTGGCTTCAGATGATAATGTCAACGAGATTCCAATTTTCATATTGTCTCTTCGGAAAAAAAAAGAGAGAGAAATTGAAGCCATGGAATTGGAGAAAAGAAATAAAAATTGCTAGCAAAAACAGAGCAAGTTCATGCCGAAAAGGGTAGTTTACCTTGAAAGTGTTGGAGTAGCTCACGCCCAGCCAGGCGTGCATAGAACGCTGGCGTGGTACTTGCCCTGACCTAGAACCAACTCGCCGCCGGATGACGGCGGTCGGCGGGCGCTCGACGTCGGCGACAGAGTTGGGCGCGGGGGATGAGGACCTCGCCGGACGCCACACCGAACCTTGACTCGAAGACTTCGGCATGCAGGGGAATAAGTTCACTTTAGGTCTCTCTATTTGTCGTCCAGTCTGATTTTTGTCCCTGAACCGTAAAATTGGGTACGACCCGTCCCCCAACTTACGAAAACCGGGCAAACGAGGTCCCTCGACGGTTTTGATAGCGGTTTTGGCTGACGTGGCGCCTATTCGGCTAATTTGACTCGGTCCTCATCTCACATGGCACTGACGTATCGCTTACGTGGTAATTCGATCCGGAAAAATAATAAAACCCATGAGACCCACATGTCAATTGCACACAAAATAATTAAAAATGGTGGGACCCACGTGGGCCCCACATGTCATCCTCACTCCTTTCTTTCTCCTCTCTCCCCATCTCCTTCTCTTCGTCTCTATCCCCTTTTCCTCTCTGTTCTCTCTCCAGCGCCACCACCACGGACTCAGCCGCCGCTCCCGCCACCGCCACATCCCTCGCTGGTGATCAAGATGAGGTTCCACGGCGTGCCGGTGGATCTCGTGTACGCCGGCGTGTGCCTTCCGAGAGGAGAAGCGAGCGATGGCAGTCATCGAGTTGTAGTTTCATAGGATTTGTGTTCCAATAATTAAGGGATAGAGAGGCATGCGATATTATATCTGATTGATCAGCCTTACAAATGATCTTCATCTTGTATCTTCACATATGCAGTGGTGGTTTGAACACTTAGTTAGTTTGGGCATCAAACCAGTGTAGCACTCGGTGCCCTCGTAATCGTTGCCCCTCAGCCTCCCAACCTAACAGATTGAGCTCTCATCTAGAAACGAAGAGTGGAGAAATAGGACCGGTCTAATACGCGAAAATGTTTGTGGTCATCGGCATGCACGATCGAGAAAACAACAAAATCGGTGGCACCTGCACCTTCTAGATCGCGATGCCATGTGCATTTTGAAAACTTAGTTGGCAATGTACTGGCAAATAGTTATACATATGAACTTTGTCCCGACACCTGGGCTAGATATTGTGTAAGCTATTAAGCATGAGAACTAGAAATATTCAGCCAGACTAGGTCTCAAATAAAAATTATGAATTCAAATCTAAAATTACTGTATACTTAGTGTGTTTCGTAGTAGATATGCGAATATTTCTTGGGATTTTACCTCGCACCATTTATTTTTAGGAAAAAGTTCGAATTATCCCCCTGAACTATCGTGGTCGATCGATTTACCCCCCTGAACTCAAAAACCAGACATTGCTCACCCTGTACTTTTTATACCGATGAATTACCCCCCTCGACCCAATCCAGAGCGGTTTTGTCCTATGTGGCGTACGCGTGGAAATCCAGTCAGCTTTTTATTTATTAATAAAAATATGGGACCACCTGTGAGACTCTTATCCCCCTCTTCCACTCTCTCTTCTCTCTTTTGCACGCATGGCGGGCGGCGGTGGAGGAGAGGCAAGCGAGGCGGGGCCGTGGCGGGAAGGCAAGGCGGGCGGGCGCAGGTCAAGTGGCGGCGGGCGGTCAGTGTGTGGGGACTGGCAGTGGGCGGCGGCGCGGGACGCAGAGGCGGGAGCGGAGGCGGGAGGCCGCCACCTGCACCCCCCCCCCCCCCCCCGCCGCGCGTTCGTGAACATCCGGCTCAGCACGCTGACCTTGTGCTTCCCTCCGCCGCCGCCGCGCCGATTTCCAGCCCTCGTCCTCCGCCGCCTCGATGATCCGCACTCCCCTCCGAATGACTGCGTGTACCAGACATCAGCCTCCGCCAAATCGGGCAGGTCGTCGTCGTCGCCGTAGGCCGACGCCACGGAGCCGCCGCGGCGGTGGTGGAACCCGAGTAACGACCTCTCCTCGGCGGCGACGAACGGGCCCTGCGGATGCTTCCGCGCCTTCGCCATCGCGGCTCGATCCCGAGGTGCCCAACAGCGCTGCTCCTCCACAGCGTCGTCGCGCGTGGGCATCGAGAGGAAAGCCGGAGGCGCATGAACCTATCTCGCTTGGCGACGACAGGAGAGAAAGACTAGAGGTGGAGCGAACTGTTTGGTGCGGGTCAAGCAGAGGCGGGAGCGGAGGCGGGACTCCAAGGGCCAGCGGCTGCTCTTGTCCCTCGCCGGAGTTCGCCGCCGCCGCCTCTGCGTCCCGCGTTGCCTCCGCCTCCGCATGGAAATAATCGCCGAATTCGATACAAAACCGGGTGTTTTGTGACTGAATTCAACCCTATCATATACAGTATATTTGATCCTTTGGATCTTGTTGAACTTAACTAGGTAAGCATGGCAGCTCATGGCGGTGGAGACCTCGAAGCTGCAGCTGCAGCGCAGTACCATGCATGCCGTCGAGGGCGCCGATCCGCACGAACACGAAGCGCCTGGTGGTCGTCGTTCGGTCGTCGTTGTTCGCGAGATTGCCTCCTGTGGACACTGGCCTTGCTGGGGCTAACCGTGCTGCTGCTATCCACGAGGCTGGCCACGACGACGACGCTGCGCGGGAGGTTCCGTAACCACGACCTCGGCCTCGGCGCCTTCTCCGTGCACCTCGCCGGCTACGAGGGAACGCCTACCGCTGCTCGAGAGAGAGGAAGAGTGAGTGTGTGTGAGAGAGAGGAACATGGGAAAGAGGAGGTGAGAGAGTATGACAGGTGGGCCCCACCATTTTAAAAAATGAAAATGTTGATTAGATTGCCACGTGTACGTCACGTAGGACAAACCGCTCTGGATTGGATCGAGGGGGGGGGTAATTTATCCGATATTGAAAATTCAGGGCGAACGATGTCTGGTTTTTGAATTTAGAGGGTAATTTAGTCAACCGCGATAGTTGGAGGGGTAATTCGTACTTTTTCTTATTTTTTCGTATATTGGCATATGAGGCCTATTAAGAAATGCAAATAAAGATAAAAACAAGTACAAAGTTTCTTATCATATGACTTGACATAAAAATGTTACATACAAAAGAGCACAAGAGAGTAGTGGCATCATTAGTGCCAGTTTTTCAAGGACTGGTACATGTGAAAGTACATATATGCTGGTTTCTATTGAGAACTAACACATACTACCTTCATCCTAAAATAAGTGTATCCGTGGATCTCCGTTTCCAACATTTGACCGTTCATCTTATTTGAAAAAAATTTAAAAAATAGTCACACACAAAATACTATTCATGTTTTATCATCTACTAGCAAATAAAATACTAATCTTAAAAAATTTTCAAATAAGACGAACGGTCAAACGTTAGACATGAACAGTGCAAAACTGTACTTATTTTAGGACGGAGGGAGTATATAACATATGTATGTGTCGCTTTCGCTGACGTTGCGCCTATGCGACTAATTTGAGTCGATCTTCATATGACGTGGCAGTGACGTGGCGCTTACGCGGCAATTTGATTTGAAAAATAATAAAATTTGTGGGCCCACATGTCAATTACACTAAAAAAATAATTTAAAAATGGTGGGCCCCACATGTCATTTTCACCCCTCCTCATCTCTCCCCCAACTCCCCTTTATTCATCTCTCTTTCCCCTCTCCTCAATCCTCTCTCCAGGCGTGGGCAAGGAGGGGTGGCGCGCGGCGGCTGGGAGTGGAGGGAGGCGGCGGCGCCGCCGCGAGCACTCGCCGTCGGAGTTGATAGATGAGCTCCCTCCGCCACCTTCCTCCGTCGCCGTCGCTACCACGCTCACCACAGGACACCCTAACCGCTAGACTTGTTCCAAAACTAGCATAAACCAAACCCAAATCCCCCGCTTCGTCCACTCCACAACATCCCCTGGATTCCCATCTTCGTGCCATGCTAGACTTGGGGAGAGAGAAAGATGAAGAAAGGGGAGTTGGGGAGAGGGGAGGAAGAAGAGGAGGGGTGAGAATGACATGTGGGGCCTCACCATTTTTTAAATTATTTTTTTAACTGACATGTGGGCCAACAATTTTTATTATTTTTTTCCAAATCAAATTGCACGTCATGGGAAGACTGAGTTAAATTAGCCACTTAGGCGCCACGTCAGTGAAAACCGCCGTCCATACCGCCGTGGGACCTATATTTCACCGATTTTGACAATTGAGGGACCCGTCGTACCTGGTATTCCGGTTGAAGGTCGAAAAATCGGATTCGTTGACAAGTTAAGAGACCTCAGACGAACTTATCTGTAAAGGTATACTAGTTCAGCCCACTTAATCTAAGCCCAATTATCTCGGTCCGAAACTAACTCAGCCCATTCATAAAAGCCCAGGTTTCCAGATTCCCACACCCCTCCTCTCCGATCTCCACTCTTCCGCAACGCAGTTCCTCCTCTCCCCCCAAATTCTGTCGAAAAATTTGGGGCTGTTTACTTTAATATTAAAAAAACCTTACCAAATTTTGGTATTGTTAAAATTTTGATATAGTTGTTAAAATTTGACAACTTACCAAAATTTTGGTAGGATTTCTTATATAGCGGCCAAATTCGCAGCAAACTAAATGGTCAATTTTTTTGGTAATCTTATTAAAATTTGGTAAGTTTGAAAATAGAATGGCTCTAAAGTTATCAGGCCCTTTGATAAATCTGTCACGCTCGCACAAAAACGAGGAGGTCGATGCGGGCGATCTCGGCGGCGGCGGCGGGCATGCTGCGGGCGCGGCTCCGCGGGGGCGGAGGCGACGGCGCGGGGCGGTGGACGACGCCCGGGCACGAGGAGCGGCCCAAGGGGCACCTCTTCAACCGGCCGCCGCCGGGGGAGTCGCGGAAGTGGGAGGACTGGGAGCTTCCCTGCTACGTCACCTCCTTCCTCACCGTCGCCATCCTCGGCGTCGGCCTCAGCGCCAAGCCCGACCTCACCCTCGAGACGTGGGCGCACCACAAGGCCCTCGACCGCCTCCAGGAGAAGGACCTCGCCGCCGCCGGTCAGGTTCCCCGCGAACTCTAGATTTTCTTCTTTTTTTTTCTTTCTTTTCAAACGGTTTGTACTACGTTATGTGTAATTCCGTAAGTGGATTGGATGAACCTCAAACTGATAAAAAAAATGTACATCTACTGATGTTTCTCTTGATAACTGTAGTATGAGTCATGATTGTATCTCTCTTTCTTTCTTTCTTTTTTTGGCATGATGGTGAACATGTTATACCTTTTTAGTGGTTTGCAAACTGAGATTTTTGCATACCTGTTGCAGTACATTTGTTTGTTGGTATCCATTGGCTTATAATTTCCTCCTGGTTTTGGCAAAATGCTACAATGAAATGCACCAGTAGATGAAAATGTCAGATATTATGCGGGGTAATTCTTGCTGCTGGAGTGCCAACGATTATCTTTTTTTCTTCGAGAAATCTCTCTCTACGAGAAGTTAAGTACTAGGTTATATGTAAATTAAACTGCGAAAGCTTATGTTAGTGACAGGTGAGGTTTTTAAGGAAATGTAGTTGCTCATGTAGAGTGAGATAGGGTCTGAGTGAACTACAAGCCCATGGAATCGCGTGAGGCTTTTGTTGCCACGGATGTTGTCCTCTAGAGGAAATGGTTGTTACAATGCATAATCAAATTTAGCTGGTCATATAAAGTTTGAATAATTTTCATGTTGAATGTGACGATTGTTGTTGAAAGTCATAGCCTCATAGGGATCATGCTAATGCATGTGTGACATACTGATATGTGTTCCTGGTGAGCCTGCATTGTCCTTATGGCTTTTATCACATTGTCCTGGTTTAACATCAAATATTAAGAGTGATACTCCCTTCTGCTATAGGTAATATACTCCTCAAAGATTGACTTGTGAAAATGGTTCCTCACCAAAATGTGTGGGATATATTTCTCTCATGTCTGAATGAAGTGGAGGTTCAAAATGTGCTGTTGAAATAGAGCATGAAGGTATGTTTAGGTGGCTAAGGTAATAGCAATTACAAGAAAGTGCAATTTTCCATTTGGATTAAGGGGTAAACTACAAGGATTGGTTGTCTGTGCTCTTGATTAGAATATTAAAGCAAGAAACATTTTAAGGTGGGAAAATGACCTTGCCGTACAGAAATCCGATAGGCCCAGCGGTGTGTCCAGACCCACTTCCTAATATTTTGCCATCTCTAATGCGACGGTCCCTCAGTTGTTACATGGAATTAAATTGAATCTCTAAGTTGTTTGCGCTACCCTTCAGCTGTAAGGACTCTCAATGCTTCTCTTCTTTGACCATTTATTGACCTTCCCTCTTACAACTTACAAGGCCCCTTGCAGGGTTGGGCCTGTCTATATTCAATACAAGAAGGGGTGCATACTGAAATGCTAAGGCTTTCTACAGGCAGCCTATCTTCCTAAATTGTGTAAACTTTGAACTACAAGGTTGTGCCATATGAACATTTATTAGGGCTTCTCCTCCAGATACATTCTACAGAGACCCAGAAATCCGAGAGGCCCCTGTAATCTTGCCCCAATCAGGGTGGCTAAGTTCGGATATCTTGAAAAGTTTCACTAAAATATTTAATGTCCACTCCAGGACATCAGTACTATATGCCTATGCTTAATGAACTGTTGTTATCCATTTGAATAATGCTAAATATTTGTTAATGATGCCTCCTTTTGAAGCCTTCACATGTGTACCCTTGACCAAGCACTTGAAAACAAAAGTCTGAAAAGAATAACCCACTTACTTAGGCAGGCATATGCTTATTGACCAACACTTACCTAACACATTACACATATTGTTTACCTGTTCAGTTGGTACATGATGCATTTTTGTGTCTGTGCTCTGTATCTGACAAATAAGCTTTACAGTGAGGATTTTTTCAAATTTTGCATTTGACTGTCTTGATCTTTTGCAGCAGTTTAGACAATGTGTTGCACTGTTGCCTCTTGATTAACGGCGATTCCTATCGAAGCTATGAAATTTTCTCCTGCAATTTATTTATCACTAGTTCACTGCATTATTCTTCATGCTGTGGTGATTATATTGTGCACTGAGTCCCTGACATCTGAGCATCCTGTGGATTTATTAGATTTGAGCAGTGTCTGCATCTTTACCAACAAAGCATTTTTGCACTGTCACTGCAGCTTTTGTTGTCCAGCATGCAATCTCTTGCTCATGCTATGATTAGTCTTTGTGGACACCAATGCTATCTTGCAGCTTTGGCAATATAAATTTCTTACTCTAATGATCTAAATATGTATAAATATAGCCTGCCAAAATTTCATGGATGCTTTTATATGATTTGATATGAATTACATTGTTGTTTCGTTGAAGATTTAGCTCATGTTGTCAACCGAACTACCGAATGCATTCAAGAAGTCCTTAAACCAATTATCCATATTATTAGAATTGTTATTTTAGTGCTATTTCTTATAAGTCTATGCGAGCTAAAACCATAACGGAGTACATTCTTTTATGCCAGTGAGGCGTGAACCAAACCTTTTTTCCTTAGTTGTTGACATTTCCTAAATAATTTAGTCTACATGATGGGATGATTCTGCTTGTTAGGGACCACAAGCATGGACATGAGGCACTGGCATTTTGTTTACTGTCTAAAGTATTCAAGTTAAAATTGGGTAACTGTAAGGGCTATACTTCATTATTTCAATTTTTTACATTCTTTTATTTAACAAGCAGCTGCTGAAGTGCTAATAACTAAAAGTCTATGACCAACACAACAAATCATCATATACTTAAGCTGAGTGCCTGCATCTAAACACCATTGAGTATTATTTGAAATTTCTTGTGCACTATTCTACCAGTTAATTGTTGAGAGTTGACATCATGGAACTTTTGGTCTACCAAATAAAGATATGTCCCTTCACATTTAACACATTTTGTTTTACCTTAATGTTACAGCCTTCAAATTCTTAGTCCTTTGGACGACTTATTTAACTCTTCGATGTATATTTGTTCTACTTGCTGTTTTGGAAGGGATGTTTGAACCATGTATAAACTTTTTGGTGTCATGTATATGTCTATCTTGTACTTTCGCATGATTACATTTTTCCAACTTTGTGTATGCATGAGCTTTCGGAAGAGTTTCAGATCTTTAGCAGATGTGTAGTAACTTATCTTACAAGATTGCAACTTTTTTCTAAAGTTATGAACCGATCTTCCTGTTGTGACACTAACTTCTTACCTGATGATGCCTTTCAAAGAAATGTAGTTGCCATGTTTATTTGATGAATAAAGTTTTATACAATATTTTCCTCATTTAAAAGCTGAGTTACTCTTGCTGATAGCTAATCTTTTGCATCTTTATTATACTAGTGAAATTGATTAATTTCACTGATGCTATCCTTAGTGAGAACCCCAAAGTGCAAGTTATAGTTGATGTTATCCTTGAAGAACTCCAAAAATGCAAGTTATAGTTCTTGTCAAACAGATATTGAGATATAATTATTTCAGTTGCAATATCTTGTGGGAAAAAACTTGGTTAGAGAGTCACCACCCACAAATTATGCAGTCTCATCAAAGTTACATGTACTTGGATATAATCATTAGTAGGGCGCCTCATACTGCTCCATCTCAGGTATAACATATAATTCTGCTTTATTTTCTGTCCCTACTGCATCACTCTCTTGCTGCCTGTTATGATTGTGATCCAACGGATATGTATAGCTCAATTCTGTTCATCCCTAATGGAAGTAAATGAAACATTGCTGTCTCATCACCGTTCTACCTGATGAATTAGCTCTGTGTGTATGGTCTCTTGGCCCTTTCAGCTGGTTGCTTGGTTTGCTTCACCCTCCGAATCGTAACTCCAACGTGACTCCAGGTCAGTACATTAACCTACTCCTGTGGCTGTGGTTGTGATGTTTTTAGTCAGAAACTGGTAGAATGGGGGATCAGTGTACCACCTAAGGATTGATTGCTGAGGTACTATGAAGCAACCATTGACATTCAATCTCACAATGCGAGCTGACAAGCTGTATATGCAAAGCAATACGGTGGTTGCTGTTGGCATGTCCTTGTGAGAGCAGTCGCGGTCCTAACATGCTGCTAAGTTAATTTCTTTTTTTTCTTTTGTAGGTCCTTCTTACTGAATACTGATATGGCCTGCCTTGTAGCTCCAGAAGTCCAGATCTTTCTATATGCCGAAATTGCTGACGAGCAGCTAGCTAGCTCTATGGAACTTCTGATGGATGGGTTTGCTGACACCTGTCGGTCAATATATGGAGCTCTTTTTGCAGGTATGACAATCTTTTTTTTTAGCAAACTCCCAGTACAGGTATAATTCCATGCTCCATTATAAAAAAGAGAAAAAAAAGGGTATAATTCCATGTGTCTAGACATCCTTTTCCAAAGCCTCTTTGGTCAGGATGAAAGAGACATATTCAAACTGCGTGAAAATGAGAACTGAGAAAAGGGTCTCTCACCGACCGTTAGCAGATCCACTGTGTGGGGGTTGTTGGATCCCCACGGACCAAAACCGAATTGAGTACACATAGAGGTTTACATGATAAATGTGTTATACAACTATACATGATAAATGTGTCCTCAAGGACCACATGTCAGTATGTTACACAGCATTGCTTAAACTCTGTACGACTGTTTGGCATCATTACTGGTGATTGGACATACTTGATGAGATTAGACGATTTTGCTGTTGAGTGTAGTTATCATTTGCTTAATCTTAATGCCTGACTTGTTTAGTTCCGGAGGGCAAAGTTTGTCCTCAAAGTTTCTTTTCCCGTACATGACGAATTTCAGGTGGTGTAGCTTCATGCCTTCAACTTCCATATAGGGATGCAAGTGGGGCGGGCAATCAGGTTTTTTTTAGCCCGCTTATCTCATTTCTAGTTTATTTTTTTTTCTAAATTTTGCACTACCACGTAAAAATTAAAGTAATGAGCGGGTTTTTATACAGGTAGCGGGACTATCCACTTGCATCCCTACTTCCATATGAGAAGTACAACACATTGCCCATCTTATGTTCCCCCAACATGCGAAATATAAAGCCCCACTTACCATGAAGAAATTCCATAATATCTTACACTATTTTTTACATCCATTTTCTAAATATATGGTGCAGTTGATTTTTCTCACAAACTGAACAATATTTATCAAGTACAGTGAGAAAAGAGTACTACTAAATAACAATTTAGTACTGGATTATACACAATCTAGTACTATGAATTTATACGCTTTGGAACAGGAAAAATTGGCATACTTTATGATAGAGGGAGTAGAATGTATAAATAATCAAATGAATTAAAAAATAAGTGTGTTATATTATTATCTTCTTAACTGCTTTAAAAGTTATTAGTCAGCCTCCTTCCTTAGAGAAACAACTCCCTCTCCTTTCAAAAAAAACCTTTCGAAAAACCGCTCCATGTTAAAGAATCACCCCTAAAAATTCCTGTGATCCCGTTCTAAATGTATGGAATACAACTAGTATTAGAAGACGGAGCATGTGATTCTACTATCCAAAGGAGGTTAAATTTTTCCTAACATTGAAGCCTTTCAAAGAGAGAGGCTTTTCCAAACAAGACTACTCCTATACCACACTAAATGTGCGGTACCTATACGTACATGTACTGATGTACGTGGGTAGTATTAATGATCAGTATGATGTACTCCCTCCATCTCATAATATAAAGGATTTTAAGTTTTTGTTTGCACTGTTTGACCACTCATCTTATTTAAAAAATTTTTAGAATTATTATTTATTTTTTTACTTACTTTATTATCCAAAGTATTTTAATCACAACTTTTCTTTTTTTTATATTTACATAAATTTTTTAAATAAGACGAGTGGTTAAACACTATAAGCAAAACCTTAAAATCCCTTATATTATGGGATGGAGGGAGTAAGGTTTAGTAGGCTGTGAGGCGCAGCAGAGGCCGGCCATCGTTGACACTGCGTGTGGGCCCATGCATCTTGAATACTCCGGCTTGCCGGCGGCCGAGGGCAAAAGCGTAAATATATAAAGACTAAAAAAAATACCTGATTGATCCGTCGTTAGCATAAGCCAATTCTCTGATACGCACGGTGACTGGAGCCGGCCGGTGGACGGTGGTCACCGACAGCTCCTCCCGGTTAACCTGAAGCTGCACCGGAGTCCGGTCACCTCCCTTTATAAAAATCAAAAAGAGAGAAAAAAAAACAACAAGATCTCCTTTCTTTTCATATCTGTTTCTCTCTTTTTTTTCTTTGCACTAATGACTTAGCCAGAAGAATATGTTCTTCCACTTTTTTTTTGAAAAATAATATTAGTATAATTGAGATTGTGCTCTAATTGGTGCCAAGGGAGAACGCATATTAGACCTCACCTGACTGCATCTGCATGCACCAGAAGGGCAGTAGGAAACAAGGAACAAACATGAACATCTGGGCCCACTTGTCTGTGAATCACATGCAGATGTGCAATGTTGGTAGTGGTACTGACCCTCATCGGTTACCCGTATTCCCTAATAATCTGTTTTAGCTTATTAAGGAATAAAAATTAATTTATAAGTAAAACTTTTATATATCTGTTCGTAGCGATTTAAAGCTAACACTGTATAGAAATTATGTTGCGGATATCTTAAAATTTGACTTCAAAATTAAACTCGAAAATATAAAATTTAACTTTTGCTTTAATTTATTAGGCCAACCGATGAACTCCGTGGTACTTGCATAGGAGCAGCTAGTGTGTGTATAGAAAATTGTTTGGGGCTCTTGTGTACTGGCAACACAGTAGATGGATCCAGATTGTCACAGCTTCTTTTTTTTTTTGTCAACGGCGTGCAGAATGCAGACGGATGTGTGTAAATATATGTGTCGTGTTGCGTGAGGTGGGGACTAATCAAGGACCCATCGTCTCGTAATTAGGTGATTTGGTGATGATGAGAGGAGGGATGTCTTCTGGCCGGTGCACAAACAAATTTTACTTTATTAGAACTTACTACTGTTAGAGCACAATGGTACAAAGTAGTGTACTTCACCGTTTTAAAATATAACAATTTAAATAATGGATATTAGATATAATCTAGTTTCACGAATATGGTTATATCTGATCTAGTACTATGTTGCTACTATATTTTAGAATGACGGGAGTATATGCTATTCTAGGGCCAAATTGAAATTTAACGTTGTTATAGATTAACCTCAATTTTTCGTGAGCACATTTCCTTAATTGCTAAATGATGATTTTTTAAAAAAAGCACTACATATTTTTTTTCTAAAAATAAAAATAAAAATAAAAATATATTTAAGTTTATAATAATTAATATTTGATTAATCACACACTAATAATTTATCTCATTTTGCGTGCTGTCAAATATCCCCTCTAAATGCCAGAATGGATGTAGCCTTAATTTGGTTGGTTATTGCTATTGTATATGTAATATCATAGCTGATAACTAGTTGAATACTCCATCCGTCCCAAAATATAAGGGATTTTGGGTGGATGGGATGTATCCTAATACTACGAATCTAGACATACTCTGTCCAGATTCACTCGTAGCACTAGGATACTTACATCCAATAAAAATCCCTTATATTCATGGACGAATGGAGTATGTATTTAGAGAAGAATTAACTTCGTAAATGAAGTTATGGGTTCTTTTCTCCCCTAAATATTTGAGCAAAAGTACTACCCACATACTCCCTCCCTTCAGAAAAAATAAATTGCTGGCTATGTATAACTAGTAGATGCCCCTCGCATCATAGCAGGACATTAGAACTCCTTTGATAAAAAAAAACATTGATATGATAGTTGATATCTCATAGCCACTTCGATCCAATGGCTGAACAATTTATGACAGGGCTAAATTTGAGAGCTCCCATATAACAAATTAATGTATTTAGTGAGTCGTGACTATTTCATAGAAATAGGGGATAAGCTATTCGATTCATAAAAATAAAATACCAGTACAGGAGTGAGGCTAACTTTTAAAGGGGTGTATTACAGATTAGTATGTTAAGAGGGATTAAGGTAATTAACTAGATGTTTTTTCACCAAAAAAATTGAAATAAAAATGGAATAAAGTAGTGAGACAAAAAGGAGAGGCGGAAAGCATGCGCCTATCCAAGACAGAACTGGAGTGCACCCTTTTATAATCCCCACAGTTCAACGTGCAACAAAGGTAACAGTATGCACCTAAGCACCGCACAAGATCACATCCAAAGTGCACTTAATTTCATAGCATATATAGCATAAAAATTATTGCCTCACTTGTACATTGTTTTTCTTGTTGACGTTTTATATCGCCTTTTGCCATATTAGAACCCATACAGATCTTCTTTTTTGTAATTTTGAGGTTTTTAGCCTTACCTCTGTACAACATTGCTTTACATAATTAATATTCATACATATCGGACTTTATTCATACATTTAGGCACATCAAAATCCATGGTTGAGAGTCTGGCCGGGGAAAAAAATAAAGCTTAAAATATAAAAAAGTACATACTCCTTTTGTTCGAAAGAAAATTATAATTCTACGTTGTTTAGCGGAGGTTAAGCTCGGGTAAAAATGACTTGGATGCTCTTTAATAAATGAGGTAGTGTTAAGGGTGCTTTTGGGCAGTTCATTTGGGAATGAATTTAACTGTAAAGTGATTGATGGAGAATAATTAGTATTATGAACGGTGGTAGGACTGTTTATATCATCCTGGAATTAATAACGGAAATAGAGGTAAATAAATATAACTATATGTTAATAAATTTGGCCCTCTTCACGCCAGTTTTACAGGTTACCAAGCCCGGTTTAGTTCCCAAATTTTTTTCACAAAAATACCACTTCAAATCTTTGGACACATGCATTAAATATTGATAAAAATAAAAACTAATTGCACAGTTAAGAAGGAGATCGTGAGACGAATCATTCGAGCCTAATTAGTTCATGATTAGCCATAAGTGCTACAATAACACACACGTACTAATGACTGATTAATTATCCTCAAAAGATTCGTCTCGCGGTTTCCAGACGAGTTATGAAAATAGTTTTTTCATTCGTGTCTGAAAACCCCTTCTAACATCCGGTCAAACATTCGATGTAACATCTAAAAAATTTTCTTTTCGCGAACTAAACAGGGCCCAAGTACTACTATAATGACCCAAAAAAAAATCTCACATACACCGCCACTGATGTCACTTGTGAGCAAAAGAAGCTAAGAGGCTCATCGGTTGCCCACATTTCCTAATAAATCAAAAGCAACTTAAAAGCTAACGCTAAAAAGAAATTTATATTGAAAATATCTTAAAATTAATTTAAAAATTTAAAATTTAACTTTTACTTTAACTTATTATAGGTCTACCGATGGGGCTTTAAAAAAAATTCCTAAGAACTCACATAAATAAATCGTGAAAAAGAAAGAAAGAAAGAACGGTGAAGAAACAAATCTCTCTCTCTCTCTCACCTCACCTCCCGGTGAGCGGACTCGAGCCGAGCCGAAACGCGGCTCGGCTCGGCTCGGCTCCCCCCATATTAACCAAGCCAAGCGGCGACCACACCATTCCACCGCCAGCGCAGCCACCACGCTTCCCTCGCCGCCGTCCGCCGACGCCGACGCCCGCACGGCGCACGCGTGGGCGGCCTGGACGACATCGGACAGCTGCCCGCCGGCTCCGCATTACGTCGAACAGGCACCGTTCAGTCCGGGTAGGACGCCGCCACGCCCGCCCGGTTGGGGCGGTTGTCGTTGCCGTTGCCGTTGCATCTCCTGCTGCTTGCTCGGCGCGCGGGTCGCCACGCCAGAACCGGTGGGTGACCCCGGCTGCTACTCCTTGCGTTTCTGCTACCCTGGAGTCTTTGCAGCCCTTCCACGGCCGGATCTCTCCTCTCTCGTTGGGGGGGGGGGGGGGGGGGGCGTGGGGGATCAGGATTGGTGAGCTTCTCGATTCGCGGGGATTCGATCTTGTTTAAGCATGCTTTCTTGATTTGCTGGGAGGTTTTTCGATTGGAGCTTCGTTACTGTGTCTGTGTGTGTGTGAGAGAGAGACCAGGATCTCTGCCTTCTGGGCGGCAGCATTGATGATTAGCTTGTCTCCGTTGATTGGTGGTAGCTTGTGTGATCCACATTTCTGAATTTCCGGCGACACGCACGGTTGCCATCACCGTTCGACCTGCTGATTCATTCCTGCGACTGCGAGTGCTGTTTCCTTGTCGTTTAAATGGGCAATTCGGTTGCGGATTAGGATTCTCCGGGGGTAGATGTGTGGTGCCATCTGCATTTATGACGGAATATCGTCCAGGCAACTAGTAATGATTTCTTCTTTTAAGATGCTCTTTGCCATGCTACTACTAGTAGTTGCTTTTGCTGATGATTGGTTTCTTGGCCAATGGTTTGGTTGTTGTTTTTTTTAAAAAAAACTTTCAGGGGGCTCTGATTTCTTGTTTCAGTTAACCGCCCATACGAAGGAGTCTACTGGCAAAATTTTGCTCTCTATTTTTTTTTTCTGCGGAATGATTTCATTTTGATGTATGATAGCACTTCATAGTATGATAAGTCTGGATTTTGATTCACTGCATAATCTTCTGAATCATAAAGTTGGTGTTTTCCTCGGTGTCGATAGTGCTCGATCTTAATTGGGCATGCTTTGGTTTTAATTAGTTGATCGCCTAGCAAAAGTTGCTACAAATTATAATGATTAATCATTTGGACTTTATTATTTTTCCAGGTACCACAATTCTAGCAGAGATTATAAATATTCAGAAATGGGTGCCAAAGATAATGGGGAAGTAAGAGACGAGAAGGGGGTTGGATCAGATTATGAACCGGCCAGAGTTTCAGGAGTTTCCAAGAAACTCATGAGAAAGGATACAAGAGAAAATAGCCCTCGCATGGCAAAAAGCAGTGGCAGCCGTCAAGTTCAGAACAAGCTGCAACATAAAGCTTCAAACAACATTCAGAGTAGATCTCCAAAACCCAGGAAAGTTGTTAACGCTGCGAAATCTGCTGAAGTTAGAAGGTCAGATACTGTAAGAGTTCCTTCTCGTGCTCCATCAGAGCTTTCTGAGGAAACAGACGATATAGTTAGCGAGGCTGGAACCGTTGATGATAGTAAAGGCAATGAAGAGGCCAAGGAGATTGATGTGCTAGATGAAGCTCCACATTGTGATCAGAGCACTGGTACTGACGATGAAATTCCTGAAATTGAAGAAAAGATAGTTGATGATGAGAAACCAGTTGTGTATCAAAGGAATGAGGAGTTACAATCAAAGATTGACAAGTTGGAACAAGAACTTCGTGAAGTTGCTGCGCTCGAAGTTTCCCTCTACTCTGTATTGCCTGAGCACGGAAGTTCGGCACATAAGCTGCATACCCCAGCTCGGCGTCTTTCTAGGATGTACATTCATGCATCAAAGTTTTGGTCCTCAGATAAGATAGCTTCGGTGGCAAAAAGCACTGTGTCTGGCCTAGTGCTTGTTGCGAAATCATGCAGTAACGATGCATCAAGGTAAAATATGGCCACGATATGCCTCTATTTTACCTTGAAAATAGGTCATAACCATCAATTTCCTTGAATTAAACTCTGCTCTCTTGTAGATTGACATTCTGGCTGTCCAATACAGTTGTGCTAAGGGAGATAATTGCACAAACTATTGGTATCTCATGCCAATCGTCTTCAACCATTACAGCCATCAACATGAATGGTAGTGCAAAAAGTCTTGATGGGAGATCGATGCCAATGCTATGGACAAATAGCTCCAGTGGCAAACAAACCAAATTTACTGGCATGCAGGTACCGGATGATTGGCATGAAACAAGTACACTTTTGGCTGCATTGGAGAAGATTGAATCATGGATATTTTCTCGGATAGTAGAAACAGTGTGGTGGCAGGTAAAAGTTAGACTATATTCTTGCTGACACATGCATGAAACTGAGCATCCCTTGCTCCAAACTGGATGTTCTAGTTGAGTGTTTCACAAAGAAATAGCTCGCAATGATATTGTTCTGTGATTATATCTGATTTCTCCATGTTGTCAATTTTCTGAAGAACGTTTGTTGTTCAGGCACTAACTCCTCACATGCAAACTCCGGTGGAAGGATCGTCAACCCCAAAGACTGGGAGAGTGTTAGGTCCTTCTTTGGGTGATCAGCAGCAAGGCACCTTTTCTGTTAACCTGTGGAAGGCTGCATTTCACGATGCATTCAACAGAATATGCCCCCTCCGTGCTGGTGGACATGAATGTGGCTGTTTACCAGTATTGGCAAAATTGGTATTCTTTGACATCCTTAGCTTGACAAAAAGAAAAGAAAAACATTTCTTACTGAAAATATTAATATAAATGTTATATTCATGTGTTTTGTGAATTATCAGGTGATGGAGCAATGTGTAGGCCGTTTAGATGTTGCAATGTTTAATGCAATCCTTCGTGAATCGGCTAGTGAGATACCCACTGATCCTATATCTGACCCAATTGTTGACCCAAAAGTCCTGCCGATTCCAGCTGGTGATCTAAGCTTTGGGTCAGGCGCTCAGCTGAAGAATTCTGTATGTACTTGATTCAGTACCTTTTAAGTGCTTTCTCAGTTTTCCTTTATTTACTCACAATGATTTATGCATGGGAAGCTAAACTTCCGTGCATAAACTCTAGAATGCAAACGTGTTGTTTTCTTACCATTGCACTTAAAATAGCAAATTTATATGAAATAAAATGCATATGCAGATCGGAAATTGGTCGAGATGGTTAACAGATAACTTTGGAATCGACGCTGATGACTCAGAGGAGGATGGTACCGACACAGGAAGTGAAAGAAGTGCAGCTGAATCAAAGTCTTTTCAACTGCTTAATGAATTGAGTGATCTCCTTATGCTCCCAAAGGACATGCTTATAGAAAAATCTATCAGGAAAGAGGTTAGTGCTCATGCATAGTTCCTGATGAATAATTGTACTGTTATCTATCTACCTATCTAGCAATCAGTTTAGCTGTGTTTAAGACTTTGACCTCTTTGTCAGATCTGCCCTTCGATTGGCCTCCCGTTAGTAACAAGAATCCTATGCAACTTCACTCCTGATGAGTTCTGTCCTGATCCTGTTCCTAGCATAGTCCTAGAGGAGCTGAATTCTGAGGTGTTGTTTCTGTCTTGAGGAAACTTTGTAGTCTAGCCTTACAAAACTTGTTCCCACAACGAAGATGCATACAGTGCAACTTTGTAGTTAACATGATACTTGATGTTATGCAGAGTTTGCTGGAGCGATGCACCGACAAAAGTGCAACCAGCGCATTTCCATGTATCGCTGCTCCTGTTGTGTACCGCCCTCCATCCCTACTGGATGTGGCAGAGAAAGTGGCGGACACTGGTGGCAATGCAAAGCTAGACAGGAGAGCGTCAATGGTCCAGAGGAGAGGATACACCAGTGATGATGATCTGGATGACCTGGATTCTCCCCTCGCATCCCTTATCGACAAAAGCGCTCCGCCTTTGCTGTCTAAAGGTAGCGCGCATTTTACTGCTCAAAGAGGAGTTTCCATGGAGAATGCCAGATACACATTCCTGAGAGAGGTATGGTTGGAGAGGCAGTGATTGGTGAACCTGTACAAATCCAGAATCTCTTCTTTAGCTACCTTAAAAAGGGTTGGGAAGGAAAACCTGCTGAGGTGAAACCTTTGAGAGAAGTTGCTCACTTGCAGAGCTAGTTAACTAAACAAGAATGGCTACTGTCAAAATGCAAACAATTTCGTGTACATTCATATACATATGTTGTTCGTTTGTAGTATAATAGAAGCAAGCCAGAAATGAACTTTCTCTGTTGTCTGTTGAAACTAAAGAATGTGATGTCCCATGGGAAACGAAAAGATGTTCTACCTGGACAACATTATGTAGGCCAGATTCTGATGCATGATTTGTCAACAGTACTATTGTATATAGTTTTTCTTCTTACCGACAAATCTGATAATGACTGGAAGACACTAATGTGTGAGCTGTTTCCACTAGCATAAACATATCATCAGACGGCCGCCCATCGATGGCGACTCGCCATCTGCCTTCGCCACCGGTAATGAATTTCTCAAGTAGTCATGTTTTTCACTACCTGTGCACCGTGATATTACGTACTTACATTGGCATTTGGTCGTATCAGTGATGGTCTACACTCAGTTTCAATAATGCTTCTCCTGGGATTAGTAAGAACAATCAAAAGTCCCTAACAGTGCACAACCTTCCTTGCTCATATTCATGCTTTTGCTGAAATGGACATTGATGGCCAAGGTAAAATAAGACAACAAAGACGCATGAATAGGTTTTGTGTGATTAACAGCTGCATTCTGATATAACCATACCGTTAAATTACTGGCCAGGGATTGTTACCATTAATTATTATTTGGTATTCCTATGTTTCACATTCTTTCTTTAACAATGGACAACCTTCCTTGCTCATATCCATGCTTTTGCTGAAATGGATATTGATGCTTCAACCAGAAGAGCAGACCTTGGATGAAGATAGCTAGGGCTATGATGGGGGAAGCGGACCTCTGGCGGATGGCTAGATCCCTTCGCTTGTTCTTTGGTCACCAAATCATTCGGGAGATTAGGCTTCTACTTTTCTCTTCCCCTCTCCTGTACCCTGTCCCTTTTTTTTTATTTTTCAGGCCCGTTCTGTAAATACATTTATTCCTCTTCATAAAAAATGCGCATCTCGTGTATTCCCAAAATGGCCAAGGTAAAAAAAGACAACAAAGACACATGAATAGGTTTTATGTGATTAACAGCTGCATTAAGATATAACCATACCGTTAAATTACTGGCTAGGGATTGTTACAATTAATTATTATTTGGTATTCCTATGTTTCACATTCTTTCTTTTAGAGAAACCATCTCTATTTTACGTTACAAGACATTCTGAGTTTTAAATAGTTAATACGTGTATGCATTATGTGCTAAGAGACGGAGAAAAACCCGAAAAATGAAAAGATTAAAGCGGCAGATCGAGTCTCGCCGCTTCTCGATTTCTCACGCATACGTATGAGCCACGTCCTTGTGGCTCAGGCACCAGCAGCCCAGTAGTCGATGGCCCAAGGCCCAAGCCAGCTGCACCAGCCAAAGCTCTCAGCTCCCAGGCACATGCATGTAACTTGTTTGTCCATTACGTTGCACCAATGTATTTCTTCCACAATAAAAAATAATGGTTAGTTTTGATCCATATATTTTTAAAAAATAACATATTTTTCATGTCGAAACTATATCATTGAATTTGTGTTTCTTTTCTTTTTTTTTTACAATCCCTAGACATGTATTTGGAAATACGTACTAATTTGTAGTAGAGTAATTAGTAAAGAAAGTGCCTATATATATATAATAAAATAGACTAAAAATAATTTTAAAGTGCCTATATATAACATAGTCTCAAATTATAGGCACTCTTATGTTTAGAAAAATCAAACTCGGTAACTTTTCACTAATAACTATACGAATAATATCTACACCAGTATTATATACGTTAAGTCATTACATTCATATTTTAAAATACTTTTATGTAATGCTAATTTTATAGTTGTTGATTATATAATACAAAATAAATTAATGATTAAATTATGTTATTGAAAACCGTGTAAAAATACAGGTCTTATAATTTAGGACAGATGGAGTAATTCATAACACATACAAATGTAATTTTTAATTACTAAATAGATATATGTCTTTAAAATATGCTAAACTAGCGCTCTCACGGGGCAGGGTGCATCTTTAGATATTTCAAAAACGCAACACCAAAATGGATACATACTGGAATATACATTTCTTTTCTAGAAAAAAGAAGAACATGCATTTTCAAAAATAAAAATCCTCAGTTCCATTGGCTCAAATACAAAACGTGCAAATTCATAAAAAAGAATTACTTATTAACCCGGTAAACCCTAGCTAGCAGCGTTTGTTACTATGCTTTCCGCACAATATAGAAGTTAAACCTCAATGTAGAGTTTTGTGAAGTGTGTGGAACTGAATTATAAATGTAAAGGTCATATCTATTACAAGGGACCATAAATAAAAATAGTATGTTTCTGCTACAAACCAATAGATCGATCGATGCTTTTTTTTATCAGTATTTAAACCTAAAATTTAAATCCCATTAAATAATACTAGTATGTGTCCAAATTCATATGGATATTAATGAACCTAAACGATAAATTTATACGATAAATTTATACGGATGCCAGTAAACCTAAAGGGGAGAAGCCAAAACGTTGTTTTATGACGTGAAACAATGGGGGAGAAGCCGTGGAACGGAGAGAGAGTACCATCCAAATTTTGCTGGTGGTATGGACGGGATTCTCTTATCTCAAAGGTTTACTGTATAGTTGACACCTCAAAGCAGAGTTATCCATCAAAGTAACATAAACCCATGATTTATAAAAGTCATGGCAAAACATCATACCATCAAATTTATCCCATGGGCCTCATGTATGAATATGACGAGCAACCACAGGCGATTTCCCAAACTGGAGCATTGAGTACCAGAGCTTATACCAGAGGCAATAATGAACACTACATGAACAAAAAGGTAAATCCATGGAATATATACGAAGATAGACAGCTTGCGATGTGCTATAGTCCAAAACTTCTGATTTGCCAAAATAAAGTTTGATGTTGCAATTCAAACTAAACTCATTCTAAAGATGCAGAGAAGGTAAAGCTTAATCCGTTTCGTCAACAACCTTGGTTCCCAGCCCCTTCAAACCCTCAGGAGGGACCTCGGCCACAGTGACCAGAGAGTAGAGCTCTTCCTTGGCATCCTCCTCGTCATTCCTCTTGCGGGCGATCCTCACACGAACCCTCCGCGGCACACTCCTGATCCCACTGCTCCAGATGTGCTTGTTGAGCTTCACATCGACCCTGACATCTGTAGTGCCCATAGCCTTCTGCGCAAACTTCCTGATCTCTTTGATGGCATTGGGCGCCTTCTTCTTGAATGTACTATTCAACATAAGAGAAAACCATTAGAGTTATCCATCAGAACAGGTTGTGATATTCATGTTTATGAACAGTATAATGTAGTGATGGCATAATGTTGTGTTGGATGAGAAATCACAGCACTTGATTTCTAGAGGTTCAGTTAAATAACTACATAAAACAAGGTTAAGGCAGTAAAAATAGGTCACCATGCCAAGAAAATAAATATGCAGGACACGAAGTTAAGATCATTTCGTGTTCAGATAAATACATTGAGTGCTGATTAAATTCAAAAGCGAGCACTACGAAATACACAAAATTCAGTATGAAAATTTGGTAAAAGGACCAAAGAAGCATTTCCTTGGTCTTCATTATCAATTATTAAGTTTGTGCCACATTTCAAATATTAGGGTAAACCCAGTCAGTGCATCCACTAGAATTCAATTAACAAGTTTACAGGGTACTCAATAGTTGCATCCAAAATGCAAATGCGACTCGCATTGTGCCCATCAATTAGCTATATACATCTTCCCAAGGAAGGCCAAACGAGTTAACGACTCATTGAACAGTCCTTAAGCATAGCTTGATAACTAGATAACTTGTTGGGATGTTGTTGGTGAGCAATGACAACTAGTTGCAATTCCGACGAGCACTGGGCGTGGTAGTACACAAATAGAAGCCAATCTTATCTTAGGAAGAAAACACACGAGAACAACAATGAGCACATTTACCACCGTAAATTCAAATCTAAAACTACTGTTCAGGGCATGCAATTCAGATGTAATAAAGGAAAAAACAAAAAAAAAACAATTGAGTGATCCATCCATCGTATCAGATCTCACAGTTGACGTAGCGGGGAACAGAAGAGGGGAGGAAACGGAAGGACGTACCAGCTGTGGAGGCGCTTGTGGAGGTTGATGGTGTACTCCCTCGTCACCACCTCCTCCTTCCTCGCCGCTCCTCCCTTCTTCTCCACCATCTTCTTCTCCTTCTTCCCTTCGCCCTAGGCTGGGTTTGCCGCTGTTCCGGCGGCGCGAGAGGAAACCCTATCTCCGACGCGGTGGTGCCTTTCATACCTGCACCTCGCTGAGTACCCTGTGGGCCGTTGGAAATTCCACTCATGGGCTGGGCAGGGCCACGCTTTCGAGCCGAGCAGAGGCGGATGGGCCGCGTTTCGCGTGTGTTCATGGGTCCCGTCTGACCGATATGAGACCAAAGGCAAAAGGAAAAAAAAAAGTTAATGGGATCCATGCCACTGCAACTTTTGCGAAATAAAAAAAATACCACTACTATTTGTCATATCGGCTACATGCCACTGGAAATTTCTAAAATTGAAACCATGCACTCCCATCCCTTTTTCCATCTCCGTTCCCGTCCTCATCCCCTCCCTCCTTCCTCATCTCCGTTCCCGACTTCATCACCCTCTCCGGCGAGCGGTAGAGCTTGAGGAGGGATTGCGCCTTCCCTTTCCCTCTCCGTCGTCAACACGATCTCCTCCTTCCCGCCACTACATATTCCTCTTGCCGGTGAACTTCCACCGCACGCGCACAAGCACAGTCATCGTAGACTGCGGCGATCTCCATGGCTCCATCCGGCGGGGTGATGATGGGGTGCGCGAGCACGTTACACTTGAACGCCTGCGCGTGGGCAACGCACACGGCTGCGAGGCACGCGAAGCCTGCGGATGGGTAAGAGGGCGGGGAAGACGACGATGCAAGGGCGGCGAGGAGGAGGGAGAAGATGAACGGGGTGGGCGGCGAGGCCTCGCGGATGTGGGAGTAGAGGGCGAGGGAGGCGGCCGCGGGGGCGCAGCGGCGGGCTAGCGTGGCGTGGAGCGAGTAGCCCCGGAAGGGCGCTGACGAGAAGACGGCGGCAGAGGAGGAAGTTGGGGTCCGGAGCTAGGGGAGGAGGCAGCGGAGGCGGCGTAGGAGCTCGGGAGCCGCCGCCGCCGTCGTTGTCCTCGATCCAATCTGTGGCCGTCGCTGCCGTCCTCGATGCCATCTGGAGCTCGGGAGCCGTCACCGCTGTCCTCGATCCGCAACGGGAGGTCTCGACAGATGCCGCCGCCGCTGTCCTCGACACCATCTGTGGCGGGAGTGCACAGGAGCCGCTGCCACCGTCGTCGCCATTGTCCTCTTTGCCATCGCAAGGATGGAGGAAAAGATGGGGAAGAAAGAGGAGGGAGATGGAAACGGTTAAACCGGGGGGAACGAAACGGCGTGAGAGAGGAGACGGAAAAAGTGACGGAAGTGATATGGTTTTAATTTTAGAAAATTCTAGTGGCATGTAGCCGATATGACGAATAGTAGTGGCATTTTTTTAATTTCGCAAAGTTGAAGTGGCATGGATCCAATTAACCAAAAAAAAACCTACATAGGGGATCCGCATCTTGTCACCGAATGCCAAGATCGTCCTTGAAATGTAAAACCGGATACAACGTATCCTCTAACTTACAAAACCAGTACGAACGAGATCTCTCGACAACGGTTTTGGTTGACGTGGCTTCTACGCCTCCTCCACCGCCGTGAGGAGCCCATCTGCCGTCGTTACACCTCCTCCGCCACTCTGCCTCCGCCACCGCATTGAGGAGCTCATCCGCCGCCGCTATGCCTCCTTCATCAGCGATGCCGCTCTGTCTCCTCCACCGTCGTGAAGATCCCGTCCGCCGCTGCTATGCTGGCATCGCCATTCCGTCGTCCGCCGCCGCTACGCCTCATCCATCGTCGCGACGAGCCCGTCCGTCGCCTCTACGCGCCTCCTTCTCTATCGGCGTCGTTGCTTCGCCTCCTCCACCGCCGTGAGGAGCCCATCCGCCGTCGCTACACCTCCTCCGCCGCTCCACCTCTGCCACCGCAGCGAGGAGCTTGTCCGCTGCTACTACGCCTCCTTTGTCGGCGATGCCGCTCCATCTCCTCCACCGTCTTGAAGATCCCGTCCGCCGCTACTATGCTGGCGCCGCCGTTCCGTCGTCCGCCGCCGCTACGCCTCCTCCGTCAACGTTTCTGCTCCGCCTCCTCCACCGACGTGAGGAGCTTGTCCGCCGCTGCTACGCCTCCTCTGCCGGTGTCGTTGCTAGCTTCGCGTGCTCCACCGCCACGAGGAGCCCGTCCGCCGCTGCTTCGCCTCTTCCACAACCACCGCTCCTTTCCCCGATCGCATAGGTTCTTGCCATCATTGCATGCCGGACCAGAGAGGAGAGGCTGACTAGTGAGTCCCACACCAGTTTCTACCCAGCGTTCCTATGTTGCCATGCCATGTAGGCAAAAGTGACAAATAGTTAAGAAGATATCTCTTAAGAGGAAAAAAATAAGTGCAAACCTATGAGGAGCATTTGGATAATTGTCGAATCTAAAAGTGACAAATCGTTTCCCGGGGTGGGTGGGGGAGAGAGACTCCCACCGTCTTGTCATTCTTCTCTACTCTTTTCATCCTATAATATAAGGGATTTTGGTTGGATGAGATATATAGCTAAAATTTTAAGTTTTATAATATTACTATATATTTCATCAAACCAAAATTTCTTATATTATATTATAGGATGAAAGGAGTAGTTCTCTGCATACATTCTGAGTTGTCCCCTGATCCCGAATCATCATGACCACCGGGAAGCAAGGATGGAGCCTCCTGTGGAACTGGAAGCCCAATCCTCCGGCCTATCCTACATTCCTCAGCATGACCACCTGCCGGCAATGTTAGAAATTAATCTCGTTCTTTTCTCCAATAAGAGTTGGATAAAGATTAAGATTTTCATGGCACGCTTTTCAAATTGCTAAACGGTATGTTTCGTGCAAAAACTTTTATATGAAAGTTGCTCTAAAATATCATATTTATCTATTTTTCAAATTTGTAATAATTAAAGCTCAATCAATCATTCGTTAATACCACCCCGTTTTACGTAAAAAACTTAATCTTCATCTTCAAGAGAAAAGAATACCATGGCCTTGTTTGGATTCTCCAGGCTATTAAATAGCCATCTGGAATATTGCTATTTAGGAGTAATAAACGTAGATTACTGACAAAACCCATTCCATAACCTCTAGGCTATTTTGCGAGACGAATCTAACGAGGTATATTAATCCATGATTTGCTACAGTAATGTTACAGTAATCATCCGCTAATCATTTAAAATGTTACAGATAGACAAATACACAAGGGCTTTGTTGCTATATCTCTGTAACTAGCTGGTGTTAATGAGAAGAAAACAGAGAAAAGGGCGCACGTTGTTTCAGTGCCACAAAGCTCTTGTGTATTTGTCTGTGTTCGTGTTTCTTCCTCGCTGCCTCATCTAGAAAGTGTAGCCTGTATTCCCGTGAGTTGCTTTGATCCCTACAGGCAAGATATCGAGCTGTTGCGCGCATCGATGAGAAGCGGCGTGGGGATGGTGAGTGGCGACGGGAGCGGGAGCGAGAGCGAGGCAGCCGCCAGATCGGGCGACCATCGCTGGATCCATCGGCTGCCATTAACCCACCACGCTAGGCTTCACCCAGTGGCGCTGCTCCTTGGGCGAGAGGGCTCCGTCCGTGTTCTTGCTTTCCTTGCGGAGACCAAGGCCGCACGGACGCATGAGTTGAGCTCACCTGACCTGAGCGGCTCTGCTTGAAGCTGATGCTGGGATCCAATTTCCCCCTGCATTGATTTTACCCATTCAGCGGGTGTTTAAATTCAGGGGTGTAAAGTTTTGGCGCGTTATATCGGATATACGGACACACATTTAAAGTATTGAACATAGTCTAATAACAAAATAAATTACATAATCCGCCTGTAAACCGCGAGATGAATTTATTAATCATAATTAATTCATCATTAGCAAATGGTTACTGTAGCACCATATTGTTAAATCATGGAGCAATTAGATTTAAAAGATTCGTCTCGCAAATTAGTTGCAATATGTGCAATTAGTTACTTTTTAGCCTATATTTAATACTTCATGTAGGTGTTAAAATGTTTGAAGTGACAGGTAAAAAAATTTTGAGGTGGGATTTAAACATACCCTCATAGTGTGGAGAGCTAGCTATGTACAGAATATTCAGTTAGATTAGGTCTCAAATACAAATAATAAATTCAAAACTAAAATTACTACGAACTTAGTGTGTTTTGTAATAGATCTGCAAATATTTCTCGAGATTTTACCTGACACCCTTTATTTTCATAATTTTTATTTTACTAGAAAAAAATACCCGTGCGTTGCAACGGGTAAATACTATCTTAAATCTTATTATTGTTATACGGTTTAGCTAAATTAAAATTCACTGTAGGAATTTGCTTGGATATTATTTTTACAAGATCATGAACTATAATTAGGAGTTCAATCGTTAAAAATTAGCATGTAAGGTTTTGAAAGAGATTTCTTATATGACTCCTTCTATATTTCTAAAAGCAAACGAATTTAAAAACCTACTTAAATATAAATCTGTAATTTCAAAAGGCAATGAACTTAGGAAGAAAAAACACGAGAACAACAATGAGCACATTTACCACCGTAAATTCAAATCTAAAACTACTGTTCAGGGCATGCAATTCAGATGTAATAAAGAAAAAACAAAAAAAACAATTGAGTGATCCATCCATCGTATCAGATCTCACAGTTGACGTAGCTGGGAGCAGAAGAGGGGATGAAACGGAAGGACGCACGTGTACCAGCCGTGGAGGCGCTTGTGGAGGTTGATGGTGTACTCCCTCGTCACCACTAGGGCTGGGCAAAAAGCTCGAAGCTCGTTAGGGCTGGGCAAAAAGCTCGAAGCTCGTGGCTCGGATCGGCTCGTTTCAGGCTCGGCTCGGATCGACTCGAGTTTGGAGTCTTAACGAGCCGAGCCGAGCCAGCTGTTTTGCTCGTTAAGCAAACAAGCCGAGCTCGAGCCAGCTCGCGAGTTACTCGGTAGGCTCGTTAAACTCGCATAGCTCAAAAATCAGACATGCAGCCCAACCCAATAAGGAAGCCCAAGTTCCTAGCCCAACAGCCCAAGTACCCAGTAAAAAGGAAAAACCGTAGCTTTGACCATCCTCAGTCAGCCGAGGGCCCGAGGCGCCTCTCTCGCGCATGCCGTTGCAGGCTGCTGC